CTGGTTTATCTCATCCTTTCCAAGTCATCCAACATTTTCTCCGACAACAAGAAGATGAGATCACTCAGCTTCAAGCCTGCTCGTTCTGTTAGCATTCGCCGGATGCTGGCTGCCATCTCTGACTTACCTCAGGGCAGTGAGCCATCACCGTTGGCCTCAGCTGCAAGATCACCATCGGCACAAGAGTATCCCATATTCGAGGAAAATCAATCTTAAATTGATTTTGTTGTTCTTCTCCATAGTTTGTGAAAAGATATTCTTTCGTTCTTCGAAATGTTTAATGTATAATTTAATATGAGGTTTGTAGCTATATAGAATGATATATTTGCAATTTTATGCACAATTAATTAGTTGATTTTTCCTTAGCACTCCATGGATGTTCTTCTACCATGTCCAAGCTAATTCTTAGGTTTTGTATATGGTGATCTTGGGGAGGAAAATATCTCTTTTTTTTTTTTATTGAACGATTACAATTTAAGGCCGGAGAAAGGGAGATATCTACATAATGTTATCATAATTTGAATCTTAATACTTGATAAAGGATTGGGTCTATTAACTTATAAGATCTGGTGCAGGAGAAAAATATCTTATGCAATGATAAGGTGCTTTTCACCGTATTACTCAAATAATAATGCAATGATAACTAAAAAAAAATATGTAAATAAAACGAATGGGGATGTAGCTCAGATGGTAGAGCGCTCGCTTAGCATGCGAGAGGTACGGGGATCGATACCCCGCATCTCCAATTTTGTTTAGTTCAATTGTTGCCACGTGTCTCGGGTTCAACAACTCCCCTACGAAATTCCTTTTTTCGATCGGAAGTTACGAAATTCCTTTTTTCGATAGGAACTACTAAGCTGACAGCATAATTCATCACAGGCAATCGCCTCGTCCCTTTCATGATTTCACCTCACCATGTGGACTAATCCAAACGCTAGAGTTCCTCACGGCCACGAGTTTCTTTGTAACCTTAACACTTCCTCACTCAGCCACCACCCTCCCCCAGTCAGTTCCCACAGTTCCACGCTTGCCTGGATAAGGGTCCAAGGTCCAAGAAAACGCAAGGCAATCTTTCATACACTTCTGATTTTGGTAATATTGCCATTTATGTGTTAGATTTGTTTCGTTAGATATTCTGATAGATTCCTGAGAGTGAAACAAGCCCTTCATACGAAATCGGGAGTCACCCAGAAAGTGTTTTGTTAGGAGGAAGAGGAAGAGGAAGAGGAGGATGAGTTCAGCAAGAAGTGTGAGGAAGCTGGAAGTGGTGTCGCCTGTACCGGCAGACATAGACATTGCCAATTCCGTTGAACCGTTTCATATCTCTGAGATTGCCAAGGACCTTAATCTCAGCTCCAATCACTATGATCTCTATGGCAAATACAAGGCCAAGGTGATTGCTTTTTCTTATTCTTTGTTGTTTTCTTGTCATGCCCATTAGAATAGATCTTAGTTTTTGTATGTGTATTTTTTGGGGAGGTGGGGAAAGAGAATGGGGGATTGAATCCGAAGGAAATTTTGAATCTTTATTGGTTGATTCATCTAGTGACCTTTTTCCTTGCAATTTGGTGTAGAAGAAGTGTTTTGGGATTTGATTTAGAAACATTAACACTGCATTCATTAATCTTGGCAATTGTGTTTTGGATTTGATTTTAATTGTTTCAATACTTTGGTTTATAGGTTTTGTTATCTGTGCTTGATGAGCTTCAAGGATCTGGAGACGGGTATTATGTGGTGGTTGGAGGGATAACCCCAACTCCTCTTGGAGAAGGCAAGTCTACTACTACTGTTGGGCTGTGTCAAGCTTTGGGTGCATTTCTGGATAAAAAGGTAATTGTGTTGTTGTTCAAACTTATAGCATTTCTGTGGGGTTTCGTTATTGTAAATCCCCTGATGTGCTTATGACAGCATTTGTAGAAAGAAAAGTGGTTTTATGTCAAGTGTTTTATACTTACTGTTTTGCTGTTTGAACAATCCTGATAATTGGTTGAAATGCTAGGTTGTTACCTGCCTTCGCCAACCATCACAAGGACCAACCTTTGGAATTAAAGGGGGTGCAGCTGGTGGTGGTTACAGTCAGGTGATCCCAATGGATGAGTTCAACCTTCATCTTACAGGTGATATCCATGCAATAACTGCTGCAAACAATCTTCTAGCTGCTGCCATTGATACTCGGATTTTCCATGAGTCCAGTCAGTCAGATAAGGCTCTGCTTAATCGGTTGTGCCCACCAAATAAAGAAGGAAAGCGAAGCTTTAGTGATATCATGTTCAGACGTCTGAAGAAGCTTGGTATTTCCAAAACCAAGCCTGAGGAACTTACACCTGAAGAAGTTAAAAGTTTTGCTAGGCTTGACATTGACCCAAATTCTATCACATGGAGAAGAGTGATGGATGTGAATGATCGATTTTTGAGGAAGATTACCATTGGCCAGGGGCCAGAAGAAAAAGGGATGGTTAGGGAAACAGGATTTGATATTTCTGTTGCCAGTGAGATAATGGCAGTTTTAGCCCTGACAACATCTCTATCTGATATGAGAGAGAGGCTTGGAAAAATGGTGATTGGAAATAGCAAGGCTGGTGAACCTATAACTGCTGATGATCTTGGTGTTGGAGGTGCTCTAACAGTGCTTATGAAAGATGCTATTAACCCTACCTTGATGCAGACCCTTGAAGGGACCCCTGTTCTTGTTCATGCAGGTCCTTTTGCAAACATTGCCCATGGTAATTCTTCTATCGTGGCTGATAAGATTGCATTGAAATTGGTTGGACCAGGTGGGTTTGTGGTCACTGAAGCAGGTTTTGGTGCTGATATTGGAACTGAGAAGTTCATGAATATCAAGTGCCGATATAGTGGTTTAACACCTCAATGTGCTGTTATTGTGGCAACAATAAGGGCCTTGAAGATGCATGGTGGTGGGCCAGAAGTTGTTGCTGGAAAGCCCCTTGACCATGCTTACTTGAACGAGAATGTGTCATTGGTTGAAGCTGGTTGTGTGAATCTGGCCAGGCATATTGCTAATACAAGGGCTTATGGTGTAAATGTTGTTGTTGCTGTTAACATGTTCTCCACTGATACACAGGCAGAACTGGATGCTGTTAGAAATGCAGCATTGGCTGCTGGAGCATTTGATGCTGTTGTCTGTACTCACCATGCTCATGGTGGAAAGGGAGCGGTTAGTCTTTTCTTCCACTCAATTTGTTTATTCTTTTTAGTTCTCTTGAAACCAAGCTACTTGAAGCAAAATTGCACTGTTGCAATCAGAACTGAGTCTTTTTTTTTTTCTTTTTTTTCTTTTTCTTTTTCTAATGAAAAAATAGAGAAATTAATGTTTT